ATACATATGAGTCACCATAAGGGTTACTTGATATGTATAACCTCATTAAATTCTCAAAACACACAGGGGACATTACCTATACCTTTATGTGTATAAACACAACTTCAGGGGTTAGAAAATGAACCCATGGCCAAAAACCCTGTAGATAACAGGACTGGCCAACCCACTACTGTCTCCCATCCCGCACTGCAGCTTAAAGGGAATTAAGTCTCCATACAATGGGCAACAACAGGTTCTGTATAGAAAGCAAATTTCTCACTATAGGTCCCACTGAGACTTTACAATATTCTATAAAATACGTAAGTAATGCAGCACCAACAGCAGAATATTCTTCCCTGCCTGTAATGCTAGATACTTAACCAAAAAATGTCATAAAGAAACAAATTTAATCTGTCAGGGAACATACGAGGAGGAGTATGCCATGGGACACTAATTCTCCTGGGTGTATTGTGAATTCACAATGTCCACCTGCTCTCAACCCATCACTGGTGAGGAAAGTGAAAGATGGAAAGGGTGAGCTTTGCAGAACAGCAAAACGGCTTACAACTCTTCTATGAAAATGTACCAGAGGGGCCAGTGTTGTGGCAGAGTGTACTACGTCACTGCCAAAGATGACAGCACCCCATATGAGCACTGGTTCAAATCCTGGCTACTCCATTTCTGATCCAGTTCCCTGCTAATGTGCCTGGGAAAGCAGTGGAAGATGGCCCAAGTGCTTGGGCCCAGGCTACCCAAAACATCAGAGACGCAAATGGAGTTCCTGGCTCCTACCTCTGGCCTTGCCGAGCTCCGGTCTTTACAGCCATTTGGGAAATGAACCACTATATGGAAGATCTTTCTTTCTCTCTGTCTCCCTCTAATTCTGCCTTTTAAATACATACATACATACATACATACATACATACATAAATCTGGAAAAAAAAGTATTGGCATGGATTGAAATGCCTATTTTCCAAAATTTTAATTCTGAAACCAAAAAAAAAAAAAACTTGATTATGAAAAGATAATGCAACTAAACTTTGTTTTAAAAGAAAAACGTATACATATCTTGTTCCTTCAAAAATCAAATAGGCTAGATCTACAATTAGTGGAATTTATAATCACAGGCAGTAGAAATTAAAAACATAGTTTGTTAAAGCAGGAATGAACACATATAATGTTTCCAGAAAGAATATCTAGCCGGCGCTGTGGCTCACTTGGATAATCCTCCACCTGTGGCGCCGGCACCCCGGGTTCTAGTCCCAGTTGGGGCACTGGTTCTGTCCCAGTTGCTCCTCTTCCAGTCCAATTCTCTGCTGTGGCCTGGGAAGGCAGTGGAGGATGGCCCAGGTGCTTAGGCCCTGCAGCCACATGGGAGACCAGGAGGAAGCACCTGGCTCCTGGCTTCGGATTGGCAGGGAGCGCTGGCCGTAGTGGCCATTTTGGGGGTGAACCAATGGAATAGGAAGACCTTTCTCTCTGTCTCTGTCTCTCTCTCTCTCTAACTCTGCCTGTCAAAAAAATCTAATAATTAATTTATTAGTTAATTAATAAGTATAGGTATGTGTATGCAGTCAGCCTTCTACCTGTAACCTTCGCTGAACACTAAAGGAAAAATATGTTTTTTTCTTTTTGGTTTTCTTTAAGATTTATTCATTTATTTGAAATGCGGTGTTATACACGGAGGAGGAGGGGGAGGAGGAGGGGGAGGAGGAGGAGGAGGAGGAGAGAGAGAGAGAGAGAGAGAGAGATGTTCCACCTGCTGGTTCACTTCCCAAATGGCAGCAATAGCTGGACTTCAGCCTGTCCAAAGCTAGGAGCCAGGAGCTTCTTCTAGGTCTCCCACTTGTACCATCATCCTCTGCTTCCCAAGGTATGTTAGCACATAGCTAGGTTGAAACTAGAGCAGTCAGGACTTGAACCAGAAGCCATAAAGGATGACAGCATGACATGAGGAGGTTAAACCTGCTATACCACAATGCCAGCCCCATTGTGTTTTTTTTTCTTTTAAGATGTAGTTGTTTGAAAGGCAGAGTTACATAGGAGGAGAGACAAAGTTAGGAAGAGAAAGACCTTCCACCTGCTGATTCACTTCTGAGATGCCTCCAACAAGCTGAAGCCAGGAGCCAGGAGCCAGGAGCCAGGAGCTTCTTCCGGGTCTGCCATGTTGGTGCAGGGGCCCAAGTACTTGGGCCATCATTCTCTGATTCCCCAGGCACATAAGCTGGGAACTGGATCAGAAGTGGAGCAGTCAGGACTGGAACCAGCGCTCCAATGTGAGATGCTGGTGTAACAATTGGCAGCTAAACCCCCTGAGCCACAACCAAACTCCAGATTTCTCAAGTTGTACCAATTATCAGTTGATTTTTTGGTGATACTACTTCATACAAAAATATCAGGGACCAGCATTGTGGCACAGTGGGTTAAACTGCTGCCTGTGACCATGGCGCCCCATACAGGCACAGTTGTTTAAGTCCTAGCTGATCTGTTTTCCATTCAGTTTCCTGCTAATGCTCCTGGGAAAGCAGTGAAGCATGGCCCAAGTGCTTGGGCCCAGACACACGTGTGGGAGACCCAGATGGAGTTCCTGGCTCCTGGCTTCAGCCTGGCACAGCCCAGGCAGATGAGGCCTTCTAAGGAGTGAACAACAGATGGAAGATATGTCTCTCTCTCTCTCTCTCTCTCTCTCTCTCCCACTCTTTTCCCCGTTTCTCTGTCATTCTGCCTTTCAAATAAATAAATATTTTAATCATCTAAATATAATGCAAGTAGTTTAAATGGGAGTGAAAATTCAGAAGCTGAATTAACTATATTTTTAAATCTACTAAATTCTGTAAAAATTTACAGAAAGTGTAAATATGAATAACTGAACTTCTTGATACACAGTAGCATTTCAAAACATTTCTGAAAAATAGAATTAAAAGGGCCGGCGCCGCGGCTCACTAGGCTAATCCTCCGCCTAGCGGCGCCGGCACACCGGGTTCTAGTCCCGGTCGGGGCGCCGGATTCTGTCCCGGTTGCCCCTCTTCCAGGCCAGCCCTCTGCTGTGGCCAGGGAGTGCAGTGGAGGATGGCCCAGGTGCTTGGGCCCTGCACCCCATGGGAGACCAGGAAAAGCACCTGGCTCCTGGCTCCTGCCATCGGATCAGCGCGGTGCGCCGGCCGCGGCGGCCATTGGAGGGTGAACCAACGGCAAAGGAAGACCTTTCTCTCTGTCTCTCTCTCTCACTGTCCACTCTGCCTGTCAAAAAAAAAAAATAGAATTAAAAGACAAGTTTATTTTGGTGCAAAAACATTTGAAATCTATACATCATATTTTCCTAATATACATTTTTCATTCACTTTTTGAAGACTCCTCATACGCATGGATTTCTGAATTTTCTTGGGGGCTAGTGCTGTGGCATATTGGGTAAATCTGCCTCTAGGCAACAATTCAAGTCCCAGCTGCTCCACCTTCAATCCAGTTCCTTGCTAGTGAACCTGGGAAAGCTGCGCAAGATGACTCAAGTACTTGGGCCCCCAGCACCCATGTCAGAAACCTGGAAAGAATCTCCTGGCTTCAATCTAGCCCAGCTCGGCCATGTGGCCATTTAGGGAGTAAACCAGCAAATGCAAGATCTCTCTCTAGATCTCTTTCTCTCTCTCTGTAACTCTGACTCTCAAATAAATGAATATATCTTTAAACAATAAGAATAATAAATAAATATTCTTGCTCCAAAATAAACTTTTCTTTTCATTCCATTTTCAATGAACTTTTTGAAGTACTATCACTAATACAAAGGCAGGTTACTTTACATTAATAGAGTCAAAATTAAAAAATAAATAGCAGGCCAATGGGGGGTAGTAGGTTAAACCTGTGCCTGTGATGCCAGCATCTCATGTGAGCACCATTTTGTGTCTCAGCTACTGCATTTCCAATCCAGCTCCAGGCTAATGGACTGAGAGAGCAGCGGATGATGGCCCAAGGGCCTGGGCGTCTTGACACATGTAAGAGAGACCTGGAAGAAGCTCCTGACTTCAGCCTGGCTCAGCAAGGCCACTGCTGCCATTTGGGAAGTGAATCAGCAGGTAAGGGATCTCTCTCTCTCTCTCTCTCTCTCTCTCTCTCTTTCTCTCTCTCTAACTCTGGTTTTCAAATAAATAAGTAAATGCTTTTTAAAAAGGGAAGAAAGAAATAGGACACTGTGTATCTTGGAAAAAGTCTAAGAACTTTTAAAACCCTAAATATACACTCAAATCTTTGAGTCATTAAAGTATCAATTAATTACAAAGGATTTCCAGACATTACATCTTATTTCAAACAACTAAAAAAGAGAGAGAGAGAACTATTATTTTAACTGTCCAACATACCAGTTCCATTACTATTGACTTCACAATTCTTGTGAATATGGGTAACAATAAAACTAGACAACATCACTTCATGAGAAGTTGTGGATTACTCCTGACTGTGGAAGCTCAGGAGTAAATGCTGCGTTCTGAAGAAAGATCCAAGTTTTCTGAGCCATTTGCCTTTGATGAACTTCATGCTGCACATTCGAGAGGACTGTCAATTAAATTACATAGCCATGCTCTAGGTCAACATAATAATATCAGGCAAAGGTGTGCGTCCCAGACTTCAAAACATGCAAACCAGCTTCCAAGAACTCTCTTACAGAGAAAGGCACTAATCATCAGGAACACTTGTCACCCTAGAGTTGCGAAAGGCAAATCACTCTGGAAAGCATAAGTCATTTTTCTAACATTGAAGATGAATAAACAGCTTGTAATTTTCTTGAAGAAAACTACAAAATACAAAAACAAAATGTATAAGCTAGTATTTTGATATGATGATAGTGATACTAATTTTTATATTTGAAAGTTGTGCCACAGAAATTTTTAGATTGCATGTGTGAAAGTGCTAGTTAATACCTACCACTAGATATGGGAAACAAAGTACTAGTGAAAAAGCTAAAGTTGAACAGCGCCCTACATTTCAGAATGCCATGAACTCCCTTCTCACCTGATTGAGATAGTGATACTCTTCTGGCTGTTTAAGGTGGAATGCTAACCTCTTTTCTGCACTTGTGTCTGCCAGGAGTTAATAGAATACATGGTAGTTCCTGTTGGAAACAAAAGATAGCTTTATAATGAGCATGAATTATGGTTATCATTTAACAGCAAAATTCATCAGCTTTGTTTCATTTTCTTAAGAAAAACATAGTAAATTCAGTAAGATTACCTACAAAATAAAATGACCTTTTTTAGATGTGGAACACACAGAATAGGATAAAGTCAACAAAACAGCAATGTCAGGACCTCTGAAAAACCTCTCATCCATAGCACTAAGGGAAACCTGGCAAATTTACCAAAAGTAACTTTTTTAAAAATTGTAGAAATCAGCCAAAAGCTTGCAGTCATCCAGGCAGTGTAAGTTTACTCAAGAAAAACAGCTGGGGCTGGCGCTGTGGCATAGCAAGAAAAGGCACCGCCTACAGTGCTGGAACCTCATATGGATGCTGGTTTGAACCTCGGCTGCTTCACTTCTGATCCAGCTCCCTGCTATAGCCTGGTAAAGCAGTGGAAGATGGCCCAAGCCCTTGGACCCCTGCACCTGTGGAGAGACCAGGAAGAAGCTCCTGGCCCAGGTTTCAGGTCAGCCCAGCTCTGGCCGTTGAGGCCAATTGGGGAGTAAACCGGTAGACAGAAGATCTCCCTCTCTCCCTCTGCCTCTGTGTCTACAATAAGTAAATGAATCCTTAAAAAGAAAAAAGAAAAAGAAAAAGAAAAGAGAAAAACAGCAGAATCTTTTGCAGCATTTTATTTGTTCCGGGTTTGGAGAAAGACAGAGACATCCTAGTACAGGAAGCTCATAGAACCCCCAGTAAACATGACCAAAAGAGATCCTTGCCATGACACGTTGTAATTAAACTAACCACAGTGAAACCTAAAGAAAAGATCCTAAAATGTGCAAGAGAGAAACGTCAGATTACTCTCAGAGGATCTCCAATCAGACTCACAGCAGACTTCTCATCAGAAACACTACAGGCTAGGAGGGAATGGCAAGACATAGTACAGGTGCTAAAAGAGAAAAATTGCCAGCCCAGAATATTATATCCTGCTAAGCTCTCATTTGTGAATGAAGGTGAAATAAAGACCTTTCATAGAAAACAGAAATTGAAAGATTTTGTGGCCACTCTTCCGGCCGTGCGAAAGATACTTAAAGATGTGCTACACTCAGACACACAGAAACACGGCCATCAATATGAAAGAAGGTAAAGGAAGAAAAACCACCAAAGAGCATGGGAAGCTCAAAGCATATACTAGAAAATATCTCCGGGAAAATGGCAGGCAAAGTCACTACGTATCAATAGTCACATTAAACATTAATGGTCTTAACTCTTCAGTTAAATTGGCTGATTGGCTCAAGGAACACAACCCAACTACTTGTTGCCTACAAGAAACACATCTCTCTAACAAAGATGCATGCAGACTGAAAGTGAAAGGTTGGAAAAAGATATTCCATGCCAACAAAAAAAAATGAAAAAAAGCAGGTGTAGCCATATTAATATCAGACAAAATAAACTTTAATACAAAAACTGTTAAGAGACAAAGAGGGCACTATATAATGATTAGGGGTTCAATTCAACAGGAAGATGTAACTATTATAAATGTATATTCACCTAATTATAGGGCACCGGTCTATTTAAAAGATATGTTAAGGGACTTAAAAGGAGATTTAGATTCCAATACAATAGTACTGGGGGATTTCAATACTCCACTCTCAGAAATAGACAGATCATCCAGACAGAAGATCAACAAGGAAACAGCAGATTTAATCGACACTATTGCCCAAATGGATCTAACGGATATCTACAGAACTTTCAACCCTACATCTACAGACTTCACATTCTTCTCAACAGTGCATGGAACCTTCTCTAGGATTGATCACATACTAGGCCATAAAGCAAGTCTCAGCAAATTTAAAAGACTTAGAATCATACCATGCAGCTTCTCAGACCACAGCGGAATGAAGCTGGAAATTAGCAACTCAGGAAACCCCAGAAAGTATGCAAACACATGGAGACTGAACAACATGCTCCTGAATGAACACTGGGTCATTCAAGAAGTCAATAAAATCAGAGATGAAAAAGGAAATGTAACAACAGACACCAAAGAAATACAAAGAATCATCAGAAATTACTACAAGGACCTGTATGCCAGCAAACAGGAAAATATATCAGAATAGGATAGATTCCTGGACACATGCAATCTACTTAAATTGAACGATGAAGACATAGAAAATCTAAATAGACCCATAACTGAAACAGAAATTCAAACAGTAATAAAGGCCCTCCCAACAAAGAAAAGCCCAGGACCAGATGGATTCACTGCTGAATTCTACCAGACATTTAAAGAAGAACTAATCCCATTTCTTCTCAAACTATTCAGAACAATCGAAAAACAGGGAATCCTCCCAAATTCTTTCTATGAAGCCAGCATCACCTTAATCCCTAAGCCAGAGAAAGATGCAGCACTGAAAGAAAATTACAGACCAATATCCCTGATGAACATAGATGCAAAAATCCTCAATAAAATTCTTGCCAATAGAATACAACAACACATCAGAAAAAACATCCACCCAGACCAAGTGGGATTTATCCCTGGTATGCAGGGATGATTCCACATTCGCAAATCAATCAATGTGATTCACCACATTAACAGACTGCAAAAGAAAAAGCATATGATTATCTCAATAGATGCAGAGAAAGCATTCGATAAGATTCAACACAATTTCATGATGAAAACTCTAAGCAAATTGGGTATAGAAGGAACATTCCTCAATATAATCAAAGCAATCTATGAAAAACCCATGGCCAGCATCCTATTGAATGGGGAAAAGTTGGAAGCATTTCCACAGAGATCTGGCACCAGACAGGGATGCCCACTCTCACCACTGCTATTTAACATAGTTCTGGAAGTTTCAGCCAGAACCATCAGACAAGAGAAAGAAATTAAAGGAATACAAATTGAGAAGGAAGAAGTCAAACTATCCCTCTTTGCAGACGATATGATTCTTTACTTAGAGGATCCAAAGAACTCTACTAAGTGACTATTGGAACTCATAGAGGAGTTTGGCAAAGTAGCAGGATATAAAATCAATGCACAAAAATCAAAAGCCTTTGTATACACAAGCAATGCCACGGCTGAGAAAGAACAGCTAAGATCAATCCCATTCATAATACCTACAAAAACAATCAAATACCTTGGAATAAACTTAACCAAGGACGTTAAAGATGTCTACAATGAGAATTACAAATTCTTTCAGAAAGAAATAGAAGAGGATACCAAAAAATGGAAAAATCTTCCATGCTCATGGATTGGAAGAATCAACATCATCAAAATGTCCATTCTCCCAAAAGCAATTTATAGATGCAATGCAATCCCAATCAAGATACCAAAGACATTCTTCTCAGATCTAGAAAAAAATGATGCTGGACCAATGGAACAGAATTGGAACACCAGAAATCAACCCAAACATCTACAGCCAACTCATATTTGATCAAGGATCCAAAACCAATCCCTGGAGTAAGGACAGTCTATTCAATAAATGGTGCTGGGAAAATTGGATTTCCATGTGCAGAATCATGAAGCAAGACCTCTACCTTACACCTTACACAAAAATTTACTCAACATGGATTAAAGACTTAAATCTATGACCCAACACCATCAGATTATTAGAGAGCATTGGAAAAACACTGCAAGATATAGGCACTGGCAGAGACTTCTTGGAAAAGACCCCAGAAGCACAGGCAGTCGAAGCCAAAATTAACATTTGGGATTGCATCAAATTGAGAAGTTTCTGTACTTCAAAAAAACAGAAAAGTGAAGAGACAACCGACAGAATGGGAAAAAATATTTGCAAACTATGCAACAGATAAAGGGTTGATAACCAGAATCTACAAAGAGATCAAGAAACTCCACAAAAACAAAACCAACAACCCAATTAAGAGATGGGCCAAGGACCTCAATAGACATTTTTCAAAAGAGGAAATCCAAATGGCCAACAGGTACATGAAAAAATGTTCAAGGTCACTAGCAATCAGGGAAATGCAAATCAAAAGCACAATGAGGTTTCACCTCACCCCGGTTAGAATGGCTCACATGCAGAAATCTACCAACAACAGATGCTGGCGAGGATGTGGGGAAAAAGGGACACTAACCCACTGTTGGTGGGAATGCAAACTGGTCAAGCCACTATGGAAGTCAGTCTGGAGATTCTCAGAAACCTGAATATAACCCTACCGTTCGACCCAGCCATCCCACTCCTTGGAATTTACCCAAAGGAGTTTAAATTGGCAAATAAAAAGCAGTCTGCACCCTAATGTTTATCGCAGCACAATTCACAATAGCCAAGACCTGGAACCAACCTAAATGCCCATCAACGGTAGACTGGATAAATAAATTATGGGATATGTATTCTTTAGAATACTATACCGCAGTAAGAAACAACAAAATCTAGTCATTTGCAACAAAATGGAGGAGTCTGGAAAACATCATGCTGAGTGAAGTAAGCCAGTCTGAAAGGGACAAATATCATATGTTCTTCCTGATTGGCGACAACTAACTGAGCACCAAAGGGGAAACTTGTTGAAAAGAAATGGACACTATGACAAACAGTGACTTGATCAGCTCTTGTCCTGACTGTTGGGGTACAATGTAATTCTTTGTCCATTTTAGTATTTTTTGTTATAGTAGTATTGGTTGAACTCTGTAATTAATACACAATTATACTTAGATGCTTAAATTTTAACTGAAAAGTGATCCCCACTTGGAATTTGGAAAACATTATGCTGAGTAAAAAAAGCCAATCCCAAAGGGACAAATATCATATGTTCTCCCTGATCGGTGACATCTACCCGGCACCAAAATGGAAACCTGTTAAAGTGAAATGAACACTATGAGAAACAGTGACTTGATAAGCCCTTGCCCTGACCATTGATGAACAAGTTAATACGTTATTCCTCTTAGTATTTTTTTGTTTGTTCCACTTAATACTTTTGGTTGAATACTGTAATTAATACACAGTTATTCTTAAGTGTTGAAACTTAACTGAAAAGTGATCCTTGTTAAATATAAGAGTGGGAATAAGAGAGGGAAGAGATGTGCAATTTGGGACATGCTCAAGCTGACTTGCCACAAACGGTAGAGTTAGAAACATACCAGAGGATTCCAATTCAATCCCATCAAGGTGGCATGTACCAATGCCATCTCACTAGTCCCAGTGATCAATTTCTGTTCACAATTGATCATAATGATAGGACTAAGAGACAGAGGGATCACATAAACAAGACTAGTGTCTGCAAATACTAACTGATAGAATAAAAAATGGAGAGAACAATCCAACATGGGAAGCGAGATACACAGCAGACTCATAGAATGGCAGATGTCCTAAACAGCACTCTGGCCTCAGAATCAGCCCTTAAGGCATGTGGATCCGGATGAAAAGCCCATGAGAGTATATCAGGCATGGAAAGCCTAGACACTCTGGGGAAAAAAAAAAAAAACCTAAATAAAAGATCTCTGCGAGTGAGATCCCAGCAGAAAGAACAGGTCATCAAAGAAGGAGGTACCTTTCTCTGAAGGGAGGAGAGAACATCCACTTTGACTATGACCTTGTCTAAATATGACCAGAGTCGGTGAACTTGAAAGGCTTCCATAGCCTTGGCAGCTCATGACAAGAGCCTAGGGTGATTACTGATGCCATAAACAAGAGTGTCAATTTGTTAAGTCAACAACAGGAGTCACTGTGCACTTACTCCTCATGTAGGATCTCTGTCCTTAATATGCTGTACATTGTGATTTAATGCTATAACTAGTACTCAAACAGTATATTTCACTTTGTGTTTCTATGTGGGTGCAAACTGTTGAAAGCTTTACTTAATGTATGTTAAACTGATCTTCTGTATATAAAGATAATTGAAAATGAATCTTGATGTGAATGGAAGAGGAGAGGGAGCGGGAAAGGGGATGGTTGCGGGTGGGGGGTAATGCGGGAGAAAAGCCATTGTAATCCATAAGCTGTACTTTGGAAATTTATATTCATTAAATAAATGTTTAAAACAAAGAAAAAGAAAGGCAGAGTTACAGAGATAGAGACAGAGACAGAGACAGAGACAGAGAGAGAGAGAGAGAGAGCAATCTTCTATCACTGGTTCATTCTCTAAATGCCTGGAACACTGGGGGTTGGGCCAGACCAAAGCCAGGGGCCTAGAACTCCATCCAACCTGGTCTCCCACATGAGTGGTAGGAACCCACGGGCTTGGGCCATCTTCTGTTGCTTTTCTAGGTGCAGTAGCGTGGGGCAGGTTTGGAAGTGGAGCAGATGGGACTTGAACTAGCACTTGTGTGGGATACTGGCATTTCAAGCAGCAAATTACTTTGCTGTACCACAATTCCAGCCCCACAGCTCTCTTCTTTTGCTTCAAAATCCAGGTGCTTTATTTCAGTATATAAGGATATAAACTCTAAGACTACAAGCACATCTCTCCTTATAATAAGGTGAAAGTTCAGAAAAACTCTAGAAGGCCAATATTTTAGAGAGGATCTCGTAGCAGGAAAGATGCAGGAATTGGAGCCAGCCATATGACCCCAGGCACCAAGGCTTTTAATCTATGTTAACTTATGAATGAAATAGAACAGAACATGCATTGTAGAATTTTGATGAAGACAAAAGTTTAGAGACAATGATGTATAATGCATAAAATACTACCTGGCATACACTGGACACCCAACAAATATTATCACACTAGCAGTAGAGGTAACTTTTGCAAAAATGCTTGCAGTCCTGGATCTGGACACAGCTACTCATCAGACTCATCTCTAAGGCAGCCTTGCACACACTAGCTAACAGGAATATCAACTGTAACAAAACACATTTATTTATTCTTTCTTTGTCTTTTGACACATAATGTGATCAGAACACCTGAAACCCAAGAGAACCCTTAAATAAAAACAAGGACTTCAATTTTAAATGTACAAAAATTTCACAGAATTACCTATTATTTAGCTTTTAATAAGATAAGACTTCTTAGTGCTCTCTCTGTGAACACTAATATGTTCTTTCAGTTATAGAACTATCAACCAAATCAGATGAGCTAGTAAGATACTTCAAGAAAATATGGGGTAACTCAGAAAAAAAGAGAGAAGTTCCTTTCTCTCAATCATGATAGACTAGTATTTAGCACCCATATGAATACACCATATGATTAATGTTTTGTCAGCTCTATAAAGTGTGACCCAAAAATGGGATTATAACTAAACGTCTTGGTAAAAGAGTTCAAATACGAAAATGCACAATCACGAAAGATTAGACTTTCCTTTTTTTATTCTCCCTATACGACCTTTACAGGTACTGACTCTGATGAAGGCTGTGTGCTATGAATACGCCTTATTAACAGGCAGAACTTAGGGTTATTGACTTTAATCTGAACTGACTTCATTCAGATCAAGAAAATGGACATCAAGAAATAATTTCCCAGACATGGTTTGTTTCTACACTGTATCTGAATTTATCAATTACAATTAGGCCAGACTACTATAATTTACTAAGAAACTGCTAACACAGCTTCATGACTTCCATACCTGTTTTAATACAATCAAATATCTCTCTAATTACACACTGGTCAGAGAACAACCATTCTCTCAATTCACAATTTTCCATCTTAAAGAGATTTTAGGCATCATACTGGCTGAGTCACCCTACACACAAACGAAGGTGTGATTGAAAATAAAGCCAAACTAATTATCAGTTATGCAGACCATAGAAGGTGCCAAAAATGCAAACCTTGAATCTGCTGGAAAGCAAAAAGAAACAGATAAAAAGAGAAGAAAATTAGGTCACACTCCCTCTGGAAAGTTATCTTTATTTTCACATTAATTTCCAAAACACTGAAAAGGACAAAACAATTTTTAATTATTTATATTTGGCTGCCTCTTTATATGGGCAAATATGAAGCATTAATGGATCACTGTTTGGGAATAGAAGAAAATACACTGCAAAGCAAGAACCATTTTTTAAAATTATTTATCCCTGGTTTCCCATTTATATGGGCAAATATGAAGCAATAATAGATCACTGTTGGGGAATGGAGGCTTACTATCAAAGACAACAACATTGCAGTTCTGTTCACTTACTTAAAATCACTATAATCATAAACACCCTGGAGAGCACCAGAAACAGCACCACTTTTCTTCAAAACAAGAATGTAAGACCCACTCAGATAATGCAACCTTACTCACATACTTAATTCTAGATTCTGCTTCTCTTTATAAGAAACGGATATTTTCTTTCAACATTTTTAAAATTAATATCAATATTACCTGTAATTCAGTCATATTCACGTTGACTTGTTTAAGAAGCATATCTTCTTTTCCTGAATAGATCCAAATAGATAACTCATTAGCTTAAATATCCACATTGAAGGAGGTCTAAGTATGAATGAATCTGGTGTGATTTCTTCTTTATTATTCAAACAAAAGAAAACAAGTGGTACAAATAAAATTATCCTCACTCTAAACATCCAAGCTGTTTCCTTCTATTTCTATAAAAACAAGAGAAGTACCTACAGCCTACTGAAGAATAATTACTATGCTGATTTTTTAGAAATGTGTAAGGCTGTTGGAGTAACAGTTACAGGTCTATTATTTGAATATATGTATCTTACACTTAGTCAAAATAAAAGTGATAATCTTTGAAATAGGCTAACATGACTATCACATTTAGCTAAAAGATGTCTTGATATTTATTAGGAAGCAACAAAAATAGGTTTTCTAGAGAATTATATAAAATTCAAATACAATGAAAAGTCTTTAACAAACCAATAGGTAATCACTTATGGAATCTGCAATTTTAAAATGTTTACCTGCACTGAGACTGACTTACCTAAATCAGAAAAACATGTTTATATTTCTCCCCATAAAAATAAGCCTCAAGCACCACAAGATAAAGGTCTCCTAAGCAGCAGGGCAAACTGGGTGAACTGTACAACACACAGTTTAGAAATACAGGTGGCTGAGCAACATCGGAGCCTCAGAGACCCCCAGACTTTGTGCTGGGGGCTGCAGTGCTCATCCCAGTCTTCCCTGTTCCACCTGCTCAGGCACAGTGCACATGACAGCAGGAGTATCTGCACAGTGAGACAAATCAATAGGCATAAACATTCTCCTTTGCTTCGACTGAGTGAACCACAAAGATAAATCATACTTTTATACTTATAGTTTTTGAAATGACTTCCTGGTGCTAAATGATCTCTCTGAAATCAGAAACAAAATGGAAACACTGGAGTGCTATTTCATTCTGTTAAGTTCTATATCTATTTTTGTTCTTTTTGTTCTAAAGGAGCCAGTTATCAAGTACAATAAAACACACTGTTGATATTCCTCAGTTATTTTCAGTTTTCTTTTAAGATTTATTTGTTTAATTTAAAGTCAGGGAGAAAGAGAGAGAGAGAGAGAGAGAGAGAGAACAGAACAGAATTGATCTTCTATCTGCTGGTTCACTCCCCAAAATGACAACAGCCAGAGCTAGGTCAGGGTGAAACCAGGAGCTTCTTCTGGGTCTCCCATGTAGGTACAGGGACCCAAGCATTAGGGTCATATCTGCTGATTTCCTAGGCACACTAGCAGGGAGCTGGATTGGAAGTGGAGCAGCTGGGACTCCGTACTATCTCCATTGCCTTGTAGGGTCTGCAGTGGCAGGAAGCTGCAGCGAGGAGCCAGAGCCAGGCATTGAACCCAGACACTATGATATGAGACTCAAGTGTCATACTGGCATCTTAATCACCAAGACAAATGGAAGACATTACTAATGCTTATTAATCTAACAAATACGTGGCTTCAGATAATGAAACACTGACACTTAAGGTCTAATGAGTAAACTTAAGGAGTGGACCATAAGAGATCAAGAACCATAGGCACCTCTCTGTGAGCACCATTTAGGGGCTGACAAACTTTCTCTATAAAAGACTAACCAGTAAGCATTGTAGGTTTTGCAGGCCATGTTCTCTTTGAAAATACTCCACTCTGCCACGGTATAATGAAAACTGCTGTAGATCCTATGTAAAGAATAAACATCATTTTTTCCCATTAAGTTTTTTTTTTTTTTACAAAAATAGGCATTAGTCCATAGTTTGCCAACCATTTTAGGGGTTTCATTATCTTCAGCCAAAATTACCTAGTTTAATAACTTTGATCAAGATCATTTATGTGTTGACTTACCATAAGATCTCCTAGGCAGCATTTTACATCCATATTCCACTATCCTTATATCAGTATTAGGTATGTGGGCTAATTAAATTTTGAGTCAACTTGGCTTGCCAGTGGTACCCAGATGTTGATTAAATATGAGCCTTGATGCTACCAGGAATGTATTTTGCATAAGTGATGAGATTCTAATCAGCTGAACTGAGGTAACAGAAATTACACTCTGCAATGCAGTAGGTTTCATTACACCACTGGAAGCTCTAAGAGGAAAAACCAAGGAATCTCAAAGTAGAAGGGATTCTGCAACAAGATTGTACCATAGAAATCCTGCCTGAGTACCCAGCCAGCTCTATGAATCTCACTCATATCATCACCCATAATTACATTTAACCTATGAGATCTATTTTCCTGGGAATTCTGATATAGTAAATTAAGAAAACATGCCTTGGGGCTGGTGCTGTGGTGTAGTGGGTAAAGTTGCCATCTGCAGTGCCGAAATCCCATATGGGCTCCGGTTCAAGTCCCAGCTGCTCCACTTCTGATTGAGCTCTATGCCATGGCTTGGGAAAGCAGTAGAAGAGGGCCCAAGTCCTTGGGCCCCTGCACCCACATGGGACACCAGAAGAAGCTCCTGGCTCCTGTCTTTGGATCCACCCAGTCCGGCCATTAGAGTAGATGGAAGATTCTCTCTCTCTCTCTCTCTCTCTCTCTCTCTCATCTCTCTCTCTGTCTCTAACTCTGCCTTTCAAACAAATAAATACATTTTTAAAAATGCCCTTCTTTTTAAATATTTATTTCAAAGAGTTACAGAGAGAAGAAAACAGCAAAATCTTCCATCCACCGGTTCACTCCACAAATAGCCACAAAAAAGCTAGGGCTGGGCCAGGTCAAACCCAGAAGCTTCTATCCTATTCTCTCACATGGGTAGCAGAGGCCCAAAGACTTGGGCCATCTTCTGCTGTTTTCTCAGGTGCATTAGCAGGGTCCTCGATTAGAAGTAGAGCATACAAGACTTAAACTTGTAACAGGATGGGATGCTGGCATTGAGGTAGTGGCTTAACCCATTAGGCTGTCACAATGCTGGCACCAGCATGCCCTCTTTTGAACATCACACATAACTATCAGGAAGTTGTGGTAGACTGTATTATTATTTGAAATTATTCACTCCCTATTTCCTGGAGAGGTGATTATGCACATCCATTTGAAATTAGGGGACTTGATCAATTCACAAAGCCAGTTCAAGTCCTGGCTACTCTACTTCCTATGCAGCTCCTTTTAATGGCCTGGGAAAGCCAGAAGATAGCCTGAGTATTTGGGCACTGCCACCCACGTGGAAGACCAGGATGAAGCTCTGGATTCTGGGCCCAGCCCCAGCCATTGAAACCATATGGGGAGTGAACCAGCAGACAGAAGATTTCTCTCTCTGTCTCCTCCTCTCTATATATAAACCCAACTTATAAATTTTTATTAATCAATCTTTTTAAAAATGAGGTAATTTGATGTGAAGACTAGAAAATAATAGCCACACTTTGACTGTCATCAACAAGATCTGATAGAACATTGTTGGAAAGAAAGATTAGCTGAGAAAAGTGTTCCTCTTTTCATGCAATGATAAAAAAGAAACGAGAGAAACCTGGAATTCCTGTACTCGAAAAGTAGAGACTTGCTTGCAGTGATGCGCTATCTCCAAAGGTAGAGAAGTATTTCAAAGCCAACTCAGACAGAAACTCGAGGCAAAGATCAATGCACAGGTGTGACTGTTGTGCTGTGGAATACCTGAGAAATAACACTGCAGCTAATAAACCCTTTCAGTGGAACCAAGGGCTTTGAGAGGAATCCCCCTTCCCCCTCCCAACACATGGGAAGAGACTATGACTGTGGTCCCCCAGAAGCCTAGGAAGTTCTAGATTTGGGGGTGAAAGTCTAAAGAGAAAGGAAGGTTTCAAATACCTGAGATAGTAGCTATTGGCACATGCATCTGACCAAAATAAAGCACATTTCAAACCAGAATCACCCACAGCCTGAGCTAAGGAACTGCTGCTTTTCTAGATCAGCATCTTCCACAGGAAGAAAGTGTGAAGATAGTTGCTCACCAAGACTCCATCCCTAGGCAGGAAGGGTACATCCTCCAGTAGACGTACCTGTAGATCCAATTCCAGTGTAGCTGAGGACAGCACATTAAAGGAAATGCATCCCAGAGTGCACAGCCAAGAGCCAGGAAAAACAGGGAGATAATCAAGAAACATTCCTGGATGCCAAGAAAAGGGGCCCTCAGTACATCTACCCAATGTGATTATTCGTAATTGCTGGGACCACTGGTTGCCACATGATTGCCTTCCCTTAACAGAAGCATCTTCCTTAAAGACGCAATATCTTTTGTGTGCAGAAAGGAAGAAAGCTAATGAATGTGATCAAGAGGATGGAGTGTGGGAGAGCATATTCCCCACCCCAACCTTAGAAAAAAGTCTTATGTGTCCCCTCTTCAGGGCCCCTAGGGCAGAATATTTGCCCCTAGGCATCCCTTGCCTGCTGCCTGGCCATGTGATAAGCTCTGGCAATCATGGTAAGAGTTCTCACAAGTCTCAGCTGGCACCAAGCTCCACTCACCACCATGTAAATGGCAGGTGCAGAAAGAGGCTGCCCCTTCAGTCTGGATCTGAGGATGATGGCAGCCCAAAGTCTATGTGTACTGTAACGCTAGCACAAGCCACCAAGATTTGCGGCTTATTAGTTCCAGCAGCAAAGTTGGCTCATACAGAAATCCAATGAAACACAGGTAAAAAGAGGGAAATTATATGGTATAAGGGCATTCCTCAGGTAGCTGAATACAGTGATGTGGCTATGGTTGGAAAGTGAGCAAAGTAGTACAGGATCTGCCCCTAAAGCAGCTAAGGATGTGGGCAGACAGACCAGAGAAGAGAACTCACAGTTCCATTTAGTTGTTGGAAGTGAGGCTGTGGCAAAACATAAACATAAGCTGGCAAATCTGATAAATCAATATTTAATGAGTATACACTTCACACAGTCCAGCTATAATCCAGATAGATTTTTATGATGATCCCCACAGCACATATAAAGGAAAAGAAACTTGGAGAAGTTTGGTTGCTTTCCAACATACATAGCTACCAAGTGAGAGTTAACATTCGAAACTAAAACTAATAATAATAAAGCT